TCGATTAAATAATCAAACAAGGGTGGCCTGCCAATCAATCTCTCAGTAAAGCTTTGAGTGACAAGAAAGCGATCGATACAATGTGTTTCATCTACATAGATATAGGGACTCTCTATGTAATAGAAAGGACGCGTCATGCTTACTATGCTCAGAGTAGTCCTGAACCACAGTTGACAGAACACTACAATACTCTCAGCACGAAGCAAGTAAGTTCCTTTACTGTTGCACGTTCTCTCTGCATGGATACAACACTGTACCGTATATTGGTGAGTAGACACGTGCAGGGATGTAAATATAAAAGAAACATTTAGACGCGTTACTGAAAGAGATCGAAAATTGACGCTAGGGAATGTGTTATTTGCTGCTTGGAAGTATCTGGTAACACTGCCTGAGGTGAAGTTGCTAGTTATGCTTTTCCAGATCGATTTTATTTTTGCTTATCTATTCTTTGTTATTGTTGTTCATTCTTGCTGTAATAAACACTATCGCCATCACATCATCATCACTGTAATTATGATTGTCAATGCTATTTCTATCGTTGTTGCTGTTGACTTGTTGTTATTATAAATGTTATTGCCATTAGTATGGTTATTATTATTATTATTGTTGTTGTTGTTTTGTTGTTGTTATTGTTATTGTTATTAATATATCTATTATTGTTATTAACAACTATTGTTGTTATCATCATCATCATCATCATCATCGTTATTTATTTTTTATAATAATATCATCATCATTAATAATAATATTATTGTTAGTGTTATCATGATTACTCTCATTATTACTGTTGTGTTTTTCATTGTTGTATTATTATCATCGTTATCATTACTGCTATTGTGAAGTGTATAGGACAATGACACCAACGCACACATAAAAGGTAATCCAGACGAACGGTAAACATAAATAAGGGTATAGCAATATAGGCAACCACATAAAATCTTAATAATGGGACGCAAGAATAGTATTAAACAAGGGCGATAATGAATGCATACATGTCGATACAAATTAAGAAAAAAGAAAACGTGACATAGAGGGTAGATTACCACGGGCTGGCAAAACCTAACGGGCTTATAATAACAGGGAAATTGAACATCATGAGTCGTGAAAACGTCTTGAAATGCCAAAACGTTTTCCTCAATGGGCCCACTTGATGTCCAGAAGGGCTAGTTTCCTCTGGCTAGCCCCACGTGGTGCGTATAAGGCGGAATCTTCCTTCCAACACGTGATTCGGGTAGTTAGACTCATTTAAGTCAACTACAGGCATTTCTCTGCACGCTGCAAGTATGTTCCTTTGTTGTTGCACGTTTTCCTAGCACGAAATGCGATGTTTTACAGTACAGTGATGATTACAGATGAATAAAACGTTTAGACTTAATGAAGCTTTTATGCAACTTGGCGTAAATATGACTGAATGTTCTTAATGCAAGAACATGCGGGAGAGTAACTTTCATGTGTGTATTTCAGTTAAGTGAATATATAATGTAATATGCATATGTTCACATGATTATTATCGTTATTATTGCTGTTGTTGTTGCTATTATTGTTATTATCGTTATTATTATTATTATTATTATTATTATCATCATCATCATCATTATTATCATTATTATTATCATTATCATTATCAATATCATCATCATCATCATCATCATCAGTATTATTATCATTATTATTACTATTATTTATTATTATTATTATTATTTTATTATTATTGTTAGCATTACTATTACCATCATTATCATTATTATTGTTGGTGATGTTCTTGTTTTATATCACTATTATAGTGTTATCATTACCATTACTTTTGCCATTGTAATAATATAAGTGATATTAATGGCAATAGAGATAATGTGAATGATGATGATGGAGATGAAAATTATGATGATAATTATGATGGCGATGATGATTATGAGAATAATAACAATGATTATTATTGTTATTATCATCATCATTATTGTTATTATTTTTTGGCATAATTATTATTGTCATTATTATCATTATGATTATTGTGATCATCATCATCATTAATATCATTGGCACTAATGTTACTATTGTCAATATTGCTATTACTGTTAACGATTATAATACTAATGATAATGAAAGTTGTTATTCTATTATTGTTGTTATTATTATTGTTATTGTGTCATTATTATTGATATCATCATCACTGTTCTTATTTTAAGTATCTTTTGTTATCACTATTATTGCAATTGTTATTGTAATTGTTATTATTATTGTTATTAGTATTATCAATATTGTTATTATTATTATTATCATTATTATTATGATAATATTTATTATTGTTATTGATTATTATTATATCCTTATCAATATCATTATATTATTGTTATAATTATTAGTATTATTATCATAATAATAATAATTATTATTATTATTATTATCATCATTATTATCATTATATCATCATCATCATCATCATCATCATCATCATTATTATTATTATTATTATCATCATTATCATTATTATTATTGCAGTTGC